GGGGCCATGGCGGGTGGCGACGCCTGCTGCTGCCGCCCCGCCAGCACGGAAGACCCGCTCCTCGGACGCCCTCCGCCGCCGCCTCGACCACGACGACGGAGACGACGACGCCGGGCCCCGCGCAGGGGAGCATCGCCGTCTCCAGGGAAACGCCTCGCCCGCGGCGGCCGACGGCCCAGAGGCGCACGCGCGGCCCCTCCCCCTGCGTCCGCGCGTCACTGGGAGCAAGGGAAAGGACCGGCGCCTCCGTCCCGCGCGGCGCGGAGGGCCTTCTGGGGCTTGTAGTCTTGTGCTGGCATTACCGGCACGTCTATGATTTCAGAGGTGTGGGATTTCTGCCTACTGAGATATTGGGTTGACATATATTTGTGTGTGTATAAGAACGTAAGAGAAGCCAATGTCGGATCAGGCCAAAGGCCCATCCAGTCCAACACTCTGGGTCACACGGTGGCCAGAAATACCAGGGGGCAGCAGTGGGGCCAGGACACTAGAAGTCTCCTCCCACTGTTGCCCCCCCCCCCCAACGCCCCAAAACGCAGCCCCAGACCGAGAGTTCCTGTCTATACCTTCTGGCTAATAGCCACTGATGGACCTCTGCTCTTAACATAAGAAGATAAGAGAAGCCTACGTTGGATCAGGCCAGTGGCCCCTCCAGTCCAACACTCTGTCTGTCACACAGTGGCCAGAAATACCAGTGTCATCAGGAGGTCCAGCAGTGGGGCCAGGAGGACACTAGAAGCCCTCCCACTGTTGATCCCTCCCCAAGCACCAAGAAGGCAGAGCATCCCTTGCCCCAGACAGAAGAACATAAGAGAAGCCAGTGTTGGATCAGGCCAATGGCCCATCCAGTCCAACACTCTGAGTCACACAGTGGCCAGAAATACCAGGTGCCATCAGGTGGTCCAGCAAGTGGGGCCAGGATACCAGAAGCCCTCCCACTGCTCCCCCCCCCCGCAAGCACCAAGACAGAGCATCCCTTTTCCCCAGACTGAGAGTTCCTGTCTATGCCTTGTGACTAATAGCCACTGATGCTCCGTATGCTTATGCAATTCCCTCTTCATTTTTTAAAAATTATTTTTTTCTCAAAAGTAAGTAATAGTCAGTAGTATTAAACTTACAGAACACGATAAACAGCATAAATAGTTTGCAAAACAATATAGTACTAGTAGTTTTACTTTGTTGTCAACAAGCTCCATGCTTGCAGCTGCCACCGCCACCTCCTGTGGCAGTAAATTCCATGTATCAACCAGTCTTTGGGTGAAGAAGGAATTCCTTTTATCTGTTCTAACCTGACCGCTCAGCAATTTCATGGAGTGCCCACGAGTTCTTGTATTGTGAGAAAGGGAGAAAAGTACCTCTTTCTCTACCTGCTCTTTCCCATTCATGATCTTATAAACCTCAATCATGTCACCCCTCAGCCGTCGTTTCTCCAAGCTAAAGAGCCCCAAGCGCCTTCACCTTTCTTCACAGGGTAAGTGTCCCAACCCTTTTATATACACAATACACACACACATATATATATGTATATGTGTGTGTCGGTAGTTCAGCAGTTCAAGACCCGAGTGTGCCGCATGACGGAGTGAGCTCCCGTCTGTAGTTCCAGCTCCTGCCAACCTAGCAGTTCGAAAGCAAGACATTGCAAGTAGATAAATAGGTACCACTTCGGTGGGAAGGGAACAGCGTTCCGTGCGCCT